GCGCTTCTAGTTGGCACTCTTCCTGCTTCTCCAGCCATTCGCCATCTCGGTCTACTCGGCTCGACGGCTTGCTCGATTCAGCTTCGATCCTGAGCTGGAAAGTATCTCAACCCTTTCGCCCAATACGGCGGCACCGCGAGCTCATTCCGTTGTCCGCGGTATCTTTCGGAAACCCGTTCCTCCCGACTACCTTTAGATCGGTGATTTCGAAAGAAAGTGATCCGAATCGGCGATGTAGAGGTGGAGGCGAACAGGTCCAAAAGCTTCGGAACATCGTCGTGACTTTTGGATGCGCTGCTCTTCTTCTCGTCGCCTCATCACAGACGAAGATTCGACGTGCATTGAAAGCCGACAAATATGGCACACGCATCGATACCGCCATCGAAACGGCAGCGGGTAGGATACGAGGATTCCGCATCGCCACCTCCGCCTCCACCAGCTGAGGAAGATGGGGAGCATACGAATGGATTTCCTGCACCCCCCCGCTCACCGCCACCACCGCCGCCGCCAGAGCTCCCTCTAGATGTGGCCGAGAATGCCGACATCGTGCCACCACCACCGCCATCTCCTCCTCCGCCTCCCCCTCCTCCCGCTGCCGGGGAAGAGGACGAAGACGCCGAAGACGATCTCGATATCCAGGATGCCGAGTACTGGACGCGGCTTGCGCAGTCGTCCTCTGCCTCTGGCCCATCGAGTACGGCAGCGTCTTCTTCAAAAGAGCCAGCTGCAGCAGCGAGCGGAACGAGCTTAGCCAAGAATAGCAAGTCGGCGCTTTACCTCGACACGATCAACCGCGCGGTCCTCGACTTTGACTTTGAGAAGCTCTGCTCGGTGTCGCTGAGCAACATCAACGTGTACGCATGCCTGGTGTGCGGCAAGTACTTTCAAGGGCGCGGGCGAAACTCGTATGCGTATCTGCACAGCATCGACACGTCGCACCACGTCTTTATGAATCTCGCAACGTCGCAGACGTACATTCTGCCGGACAACTATGCGGTGCCGGAGGAGAGCCAGGCTGCGCTGCAGGATATCAAGTATCTGCTCAACCCGACGTTCGACACAAGGACACTCGCAACGTTGGACGAAAAGGAGGCGTACGATCTCAACGGCACGGCGTACTCGCCCGGCTTTGTGGGACTCAACAATGTGGGCAAGAACGACTACGTGAATGTGGTGGTGCAGGCGCTCGTGCATGTGCGCCCGCTCCGAGACTTCTTCCTTCGGCAGCACGAGGCGCAGGCAGGCACGAGCGAGCTCGTGGCAAGGTTCGGGGCGCTCGTGCGCAAGACCTGGAACCCGCGCGCGTTCAAGCCACAGGTGTCGCCGCACGAGTTCCTGCAGCAGGTGGCCCAGGTCTCGCACAATCGCTTCAAGATCACCGAGCAGGCGGATCCGGTCGAGTTTCTCGGTTGGCTGCTCAACCGACTCCATGCCGACCTCGCCTCGCCAGGTGGCAAGGGCGCGAAGCGCAAGCGCACGGCGGTGGGCGTCGAGACGATCATCAGCCGGTGCTTCCAGGGTGTGGTGCAGGTCGAATCGCAGCCGCTGGAGAAGGTGGAAAAGCACGAAGATGACGCTGCCGTGGCTGCACAGGCGGAAAGTCTCGCCAATGGGGCTGGTCCGACGGGAGGACAGGTGGACGGTAATGGACGTGCGTGCTTTGATCCTGCTGGCAAGGTCGAGCGCAAGGACTCGCCGTTCTTTCTGCTGTCCATGGATCTTCCCACGCCTCCACCCGTGCTGGGCACGGACGGGGACGACGAGAGCGCATCGCTCGTGCCGCAGGTCACGATTGGACAGCTGCTGGCCAAATACGACGGCACGAGTCTGCACGCCTCGCACGCGCGGCTTTCCAAGTACCAGCTGCGTCGCTTGCCGCCCTTCCTCGTGCTCCACTTCCGACGCTTCACCAAGAACAGCCTTGGCCAGACGGAGCGCAATCCGACGCTGGTCAATTTCCCCACCACCAACCTCGACGTGTCCCGCTATGCTCCGCTGCTGCCTGCGGCCGATGCGATGGATACAGACTCGCCCATCGCCAATGCATACGACCTCGTGGCCAATGTCGTCTACGACGCAACCCCAGGCACCGTCAACGAAAACGCCGCATGGAAATCCCACGTTCACACATCCCCCGCCAACCGCAAGCAAAATGCACCAAAGTGGTTCGCTATCCACGACCTCATCGTCGACCCTATCGATCCACACATGATCTTCCTCGCCGAATCCCACCTGCAAATCTGGCAGAAGCGCTCATCGAGCCCGCCTTAGGACCTCCCGAAACCATGCCATGCAAACATTCAGAAGCCTGAAACCTGAGGAACTTGATGTGTGATTGTGAATGTGTGTGTGTGACGGCATGCAAATACAGTGACGAGAAAGCGTGGTACGGTCAACGACTGTTGAAGTGTTGCGGGTGTGGGGGGGGGGGGGGG